CCTTTGCCAACCTCCGTAGCCGAGAGGCGTACATATCGGTTTTCAAGGTGACGCTTTCTCAGAGGTCCCGGGTTCGATATTATTATTATTATTTGCGCCGGGGGTCGCAGGTTCAGTTCCCACCCAGGACAAACACATGTTAAACACATGTGTTTGTCCTTTTGTAATCATTTTGTAATACTAACCTGGTGTTCAGGAGCCATAGCCTCAATAATATATTGGGCTATCGAAGGGTTCGCTTCAAACAGAGCATGTGTTATTTCAAATCTTCTTCTGTTTATAACAGAGCGATTGCACAAAACACATAGACGACGATTTTCTGCCATGGTTCACAAAATCCAATTCACAAAGCTTACAAAATCCAGAAACAAGCACAGGTCAACAAAGTGAGATGAAACAAGTCCGGTAGGCAAGCTAGAGTCGAATTAGATTTAAAAACTGGGTACGTAAATCGCACAGTACACAACGAAACAAGCTTAAACGTAGGACTGCAACGGTCGCAGGCTTTCATCACCTGACCACATCATATCATGAGCTCGTCGCTGATTGGTCAGGGCCGCCGGCGTTAAGTGCGCTCGTCGCTGATTGGCTAGTTGTTTCTACCTGTTTAAACCCGACATGCAAGCGGCGTGCGCATGATTTTCTAAACAGGTAGAAACAAGTTCTAAGTAACAATGTTTAGTAATTAAGGTAATTATTATTTTAGGATATGTATGTAAGGATATGTACAAAATATGAATATATAAGCACTAGGATGTAAGTACCTTTTTTCTCAAATGGAATAAAGGTGTACTTCCTTAACCAAAGTTGTTCTTTATTAGCCCCCCTTTCGATTGATACTACTTTCATTACTGGCTGCTAATGGGACAGAACGCCCATTGTCCTTTAGAGTAAAAGTATTTCTTTAAGCTGTTTCGATGATTGTCTGAACACTGATGAAAATACCATCACTAGTAGCGAAAGTATAAGTACTTAAGAAATTCGATAGACTCATCTAGGATAAAAGGAATTCAAAGTAAAAGGAAGTCAAATTACAAACATAAACCGTCTTGCCTGGGAAGTCGTACGGAGTGCACGCGTCTCGGGTCGCTCCGTCCCCATACTCAACTAATTAATACAATTCAACTCTAAAACCATTTCAAATAGTTTACTCAAGTACAATTAACCCAGTTCCATCTAAATCAAGTGTTAATAATCGAGTTAATAGACAATTAAACCGAATTTAGTGAAAAACTGTTCAAAGTGTTCCGATCGGTTAAGGTGAAACCGAATGAGACGTTAAAATATCGCGTAAAAACCATCAAAAAGTGCCTCCTGGAGGAAAACTAGATATCCACATAAGTGAGTACCCGGAGTGAACATAAACATATCGGTTCCCATCGAAGGTAACCTAAAACTTAGTGAAAAGTGTTCAGTGTGACCAGTTCGGTTAAGGTTAATCGGAACATAGCACCGAAACATCGGGTAAAAGACTTTTACCAAGGTGCCTCTTGGAGGAAAGCTAAATACCAACAAAAGTGAGTACTTGGAGTGAAAACGCGGGACATTTTTAATAATACTTAGCCGTTTTTTGCTATTGTTAAGATCGTTCAGGTCTGTTAAGGTCGACTGGAACAAAGTGTAAATACACAGCCAATAAGTCAAATACGTCATTGCCCTCTCGAGATAAGTTGGGTAACTACATAGTGAACATTAGGAGTGTGAATTCGGAACTTTTTCTCTCTAATTTCGATTATTTTCACGCATCTGTTCATATTGTTCGAACTGTTAAGACTGTACAGTTTTGTTAAAGTGCATCAGAATAGAGGACTAAAAACAACTACAAATAGACTATTACCTCAGTGCATATCACTATAAATTCATATTACGAAACAACAAGCGTTAGGAGTGAATAAACAATCAAATTCCTCATCAAAATTCCGACTTTTCAACACATTCGTTAGCACAGATCAAATCGAGTTAAGTTTGTTCAGTTCAACCTGAGCACATCCGAACAAAGTGTTAAGGTTGTTAAGTTAAGTTTGTTCAGTTCAGATTGAGCACATCCGAACAAAGTGTTAAAACTGTTCTGTTCAGTTCCGCTCAGTTCTGTTTCGTTCAGATCGGTCAGTGTACACCCGAACAAAGCGTCAAACGGTCGTTAAAAACAGTAGCTTCGTGCTTGCCCCTCTGAGTATAAATAATTGTAATACAATATAGTGAGAACCAGCACCTAAAAACTTTTTAATTTTTAATTTTTCTAGCCAAAACAATTACTTCAGAGAAATCGAAAAGACTGTTCAGTTCACTTTAAAGCCGATTGGTTCATGTTCAGGTTGTTCGGTTCACATAGTCTACACCTGAACACAGTGCTTATAAAAACAATATAATAAGATCCTTACGCGTGTGTCCCTCTAACGAAGCTATCACGCGACTATCGTAACTTTTGTACCGGTGCGGTTCGGTACAATAAATCGGTTAGTTAAGTGAATTGAGCTACTCAAGTGCGTACTGTGATTTCGCGCAACAAGTGACGGCAAGCGATATCAGGGGCTCTATTTTTGAATCATTCGTCTCGCGTCGAGCGCTCGTTTTCTACTGATTTTCGTTCGACTTAACAAATTCGCCATTTCTAAATCGCTCGACTGCAACGAGTGGTATGAACCACTCGTCGCTTAGCGAACGTTGTATGCGAGTGATAGTAGAAAACGAGCGCTCGACGCGAGACGAATGATTCAAAAATAGAGCCCCAGGCCTCCGGCATTGTCTCTTAAGACTGCCGGAACACACCGGATAGACTGGATCCCGGCTCTGTGCCGGCGCTCTTCGAGCACACAGCCGCCGACCCGCCGAACTGCGGGAACGGCTCGGTAGCCCCGGGCTTCGGATTACCGAGGGCTATCCACTGAGGGGGCTTGAGCGACCGCTCGGCCCTCCCTCCCTCCCTCCCTCGGCTTCCAGCTGCGGTTCCGGTGCAAGGTAGGAAGTAGCTACTATACAGCTTAGCGACCATACATAATCTCAAGCTTACACACGAGGCGACCGCTGGGGTCACTCACTCGCCGCACGACAGACAACTGGACACCGGCCTTTAAGGAATCAGCCCCTGGGAAAATAACGAAGAGTATCCATATTCAAACAATTCTATATACAGTTTAAACTTTTTGTTTACCAATAATATCATTAATTTATTGTAATCTAATATTAATATTAATTTTAATTTTAATTTTAATCTTAATCAACTAATCCAAGTAAGCATTCACTGGTTGGAAAGTCGGCTGTAACCCACCCCGGGCTTTGTCAATTCACTACTGTGTATTATTCAACACCGGATTTCTGTATATTTCTTTATCTCATTTTTAATTTACTTTACTTTACTATCATCGTAATACTGCCCGCTGTGTATTGTGTGCATCCATCATCTGTTCGCCTATCCGCGTTACTTGCTTTTTTGTGTTATTTATTTTTTAGCAATTAATTGTTTAATTTTCACAATTAAATAATTACACTATTATCATCATCAGCATATAATCATATATTTCAATTCTTATCTTATTATTATTTTTACCGGGCAATTCGGCCTGTATTCATTTCTTTCATCATTATTATTATTACTGTTATAAAGAATAACTTGTCGAGGCACCGTTAGGATCCGAACCGATCAGATTGATAAGTTAGTTCAGTTCAGATAGTTAAGATTCAGTTACAGCACAGTTCAGTTCAGATCGACTCAGGCCGGCACAGATTAGATAAGGTACTGTTAGGATCTGATTAGATCAGATTGATAAGGTAGTTCAGTTCAAACCGTTAGGATTCAGCTAAAACATAGTTCGGTTCAGATCGATCCAGGCCAGTATAGTTCCGATTAGATACTGTTAGGATCTGATCAGATTGATAATTTAGTTCAGTTCGGATCGTTAAGATTTAGTTAAAACATAGCTTAGTTTAGATCGACTCAGAACAGTACAGATTCGATAAGGTACAGTTAGGATCAGATCAGATTGTTAAGTTAGTTCAGTTCAGATTGTTAAGATTTAGTTAAAACCTAGTCCAGCTCAGATCTACAGTTAAGATTCAGTTACAGCACAGTTCAGTTCAGATCGACTCGGGCCGGCACAGATTAGATAAGGTACTGTTAGGATCCGATTAGATCAGATTGATAAGGTAGTTCAGTTCAAACCGTTAGGATTCAGCTAAAACATAGTTCAGTTCAGATCGACCTAGGTCAGTATAGTTCCGATAAGATACCGTTAGGATCCGATCAAATTGATAATTTAGTTCAGTTCGGATCGTTAAGATTTAGTTAAAACATAGTTCAGTTCAGATCGACTCAGAACAGTACAGATTCGATAAGGTACGGTTAGGATCAGATCAGATTGTTAAGTTAGTTCAGTTCAGATTGTTAAGATTTAGTTAAAACTTAGTCCAGCTCAGATCTACTCAAGCCTGTACAGATTTAATAAGGTACCATTAGGACCAGATCAGATCCAGACTGTTGAGATCCAGTTCAGCTAAGATCTAAGATTTAATTCAATTAAGCACAGTACAAATTTATAAGACGCTAAATCTGGTTAAATTCAGTTCTGTTCATATTAGTTCGGAATTGATCAGGACACTGTGGAGTTCTGTTCTGTTCGGTTCAGATTAGTTAATATCGGCTCAGGTTCGCGCGGATTCGCTAAATATAGTGTAAGGATCGTGCAAACTCATTAGAATCAACCCCAGACCATTTGATTTAATCAAACTAAACCGCATATGCACACACATACGCACACGCACATACTCACACACATATACAACAAACACACACACACACGCACACACTCACACAGATCTCTTAACTAATAACGGGCAGGATGAATCAAACAATAACAAAAACCTCTAATAAACACAAAAGCAATAATAATGAAAAAAATCCCGGGGAAATAAACTCCAAACACGCTACTAATAACAACAACAAGGGTGATAGCAACGGTAACGCACACAAAGGGCCGCTCACTAGAAATAGGAAAAGGAGAGAAATGCTGTTGGAAGAATCGGCCAAGGACCACGGCCACTGTGACGACTCAACCATAATTTCGGACGGATACACGGACACAGGATCAACGGACACCATCTCACCGGACAGATTTATGGGAGTGACGGGTGAGAGACTGTCCGACTCGGACTCCGTGGACACGATAAACATTTGGGCATCACAACCTCCGCACCCCGCTCCCCCAAGAACTCCAGAGCCCCAACCGCTGTCTCCGCCCTCTCTCTCCTCCCTCTCGTCATTGGCATTACCGGACGACTTACCGAGGACACCTAGACTATCACCGTCGTCATCATCATCATCATCCAGCTCCACCTCCAGCCACGATACGGATAGAACTGTTGAGTGCACCTCTCCGAAGGGCACCATCTCCCCCCGCACAACAACAACAACAACAAGAAATAAAGACAAAAGGAAGGGGGACGCGCCTTTCAGCATGGAAGCTTGGAGGAATACCCCCAGTTGCTCATACGCACGGACAGGGGACAGAGAGAAGGAAACCGTAGTACGCCCCGAACGGCCCCCACCACTGTCACGGCTCAGGGAGCAACAGAAGGATACCGCTGGCGAATCAGAGGGCACTGGAAGGGGAAGAATCATCAACAACAAAGAGGTGGTGGGAAAAGGGAAAGGGATAGGCAAAAGATCGCTCCCAACATCCGCAATCGAACCCATAGGGGAAAACGAGGAGAAGAAGACCTCGGGTACCTCCCCCTCCGCCGCCCTAGCCCCCCCCCCTGCTCAGCCAGCGGACACACACAGCGCAATATCACCGCCGAAGGGAACAGGCGCAATAATAATCTACGGGGCCTCCGTTAGCGAAAATATAGCCAAAACCAAAACCGAAACCGAAATTCAAACCAAATTCAAATTTACCGGCGTCCTCAGCGATAGCAGTGCAGCCGCCTCTGTCGCCGCCGCCACTTCTGCACCAACTTTACAGACAACGGGAACGGAGGAGGAGGACCCTTCCTCGCTCCCCACCGCTCCTCAGGAGCGCCCTTCGGAATTCTTCTTCCCCTCCTCCCCTTCCTCCTCCTCCTCCTCCTCCTCCTACTCCTCCCCGCCCTGCAAAAGGGAAAAAATGAATCATGATGAGGAAAATTCTAACTCCAACATCAACAACACCAAAGAAAAGAGACAGAATAAGAAAGAAGGAACAGAATTGGACCACTACCCAAAAACAAAAACAAACAAAGACACGCACCCACTAGACGAGGCAGTGGAGAAAATAAACGCCATAATACTAGGACTGGCTGGCACACGAACGGGCACAGCCCGAACAATAAAAACGGACCCACTCTTCGCAACTGGGCTCCGTCGACACACGCCCCGCAGGCCGAACGCGAAAGCAAGCACCAACAAACACACGAATGCAAACAACACCGAAAGAATAGCTGCAATCATTAGGAATAGGTGCGAAGAACTCCTGAATGTAGAAAAGCAAGCTATACAACTGCGCAAACTAATAATCGACCTAGGCGGAAAAGACACTCTCTCATGTCCCCCCCCTCCTCGGCCTCCCACTCCCCCTCCGCCTCTTTCCCCCCCTCCTCCGAATCAAACCCGGAAAACTGACGAGCCCTGCTCGGGGACAAGAAACGGAAATGTCTTCCCGAAGCCTCAAACCGGCCTCACCACCTCCTCCCCCAATTCCTCTCCTCACCATTCAAGGAGCGGAAACGGGAACGAACACAGGAGCAGCGGAACGGAGCCCGAACAACACACCAGCGCAAATGAGCCGAAGATCAGGAGAAGCGACAAGCACCCGGACCTGGTTCAAATCATGAACGCGTTGAGAGAACATCAAAAGATCCAACGGGAACAGGACCAGCGACTATCCCGATTACAAAAGCAAATCGAGGCGCTTCGCTCCGGTGACGCTCCCGGGCAAGAACGGATTACCCAATCTAAACTCGAGACCAAAACTAAAACCGATACCCAAACTGAAACAAAGGAAAATGTAGGTAGAAAGAGGAAAACAACATGGAGAAACAACAGAAGAAGGCGAACCAAAAATCACCGGGAGAACACCACCGCACCTACACCCGCTCCACCACCACCACCACCACCACTATCAACCAACATCCCAACAAACGACACCACACAACGAGCACGACAGCAAAGAGAAAGAGCCCCGCAAAACCAACATCCTAGGGTTAACGAATCAACTCAACGGAGACAATTATCATCACAACCGTTTCCACAATCACCACGACTGCAACAACAACCCCTCTCAGTACGGCAACGAGGGCGGCCGCAGTTACCTCAACGACAACAACAACAACAACAACCACAAAGACTTAGGCCTCCACCGCAAGGGGGTAACCCAACACCGACACAACTAGAGCGACAGCAGCTGACCAATCTCCGTGTGCTCGCACCCCCCCCCACCATCGCGGGCGAGACACGAACCCCCCCAGGGGAACGCTCCCCGGCGTCTGGGACCTGTAGGCTTTGAGAGGACCAGCAAACAAAGCCCCTGGCGACCACCCGCGGAGACGGCAGGCCCGATCTCTTATCCAGAGGGTCCACCCTCCCGGCGTGAAAATCCATTCGAGATCCCCTCGCTGCTCTCGTTACCGCCCATCCGCCCTCCCCGACAGTGGACGCAGGCACGGCCGCAAATCATGCCGCCGCTGCTCCCTCCACCACCGCTGCCGCCGCCGCCGCCCCCCACGTCGCATCGACCTCAACGACTTCAACAACCGTCGCAGGGACATCAGCCTCTGGCACGTTCGCCGTTCTCACAACAACAAAATCGCACGCCTCAACAAGTTCGAGGGGCATCGGGAGAAACCTCAAGTTACGCGGAGATTGTTCAAAAAAAACAAGTGGGCAAGAAAGGAGACACCATCCCGGCGAACTCTTCACCCCCTCTCCCACTCTCACACCCCTTCCCCCTCCCCACTCTCTCTAGATTCATGAGAGGTCTGGGAGACCAAGACGCGGACCGTCGCGGCCGCGATAGCCACAATCCAATAAAAAACCCTGACTCCGGCGGCGTCGTCAACACCACCGCTGCGGACATCGTCGCCTCCCCACCTGCCGCTGCTACTCGCCACCCTAGCCTGCCACATAAATCGATAAAAGGCCGCAACGACAAGAACCAGGCGAACAAATGCTTCTCAATCCCCTCCAGAAGCGAGACCGCAGTCATCATCGGCGGAAGAGGCCTCGAAAGCGAACACACCATAAAGGAAAAGGTCAAAGAATCTCTAAAGAAAGCGGGAATCAAACCAGCCTACCATAGCATAAAACCCCTATCCAAAGGAAAGGTGAGATTTGCATTTGACAACAGAACGATCGCCTCCAGGTTCATGGACGCCATCAACTATTATGAAAAGGAAACGCGCATAAGAGCCGAATGGGAGAAGCACCTTCGTCCGGCGGTCATACTAAAAGGAATATCCAACTCGATAGAACCACAAGACCTCCCGGGAATCATCATTCGGCAGAACGAGTGGTTGGAAACGAAAAACACACAGGACGTACGCTTCCTTTTCACCGGCACCAACAGAAAGGCATCGACAAGGTACAACGCGATCATGTCCATAGCCCCTCACCTTTGGGAAAGACTGATCTGCGGCGGGCACGTCAGAGTGGGCTCCGAGGAGATTTGGATCGAGGAATACTCGAACTTTAAACAATGCAAAGGCTGCCATCTGTTCGGACACACAGTCAGACAATGCATCGCCCCCCCCAAGTGCGGACACTGCGGAGACACCGCTCACCCCATCGACAGATGTCCCAATATCAATAGCCCACCCACATGCAGCAACTGCAAAGCGGCCAATATTAATTTAATATACAAGCAAAGATGCGACACCGGACACCTATTCAATAGTCATTCCTCCTGCCCCAGATTGAGGGCTATGATACAAAAAATTAACAACAAAACAAGGTATGCCTAACAATAGAAACGCTCTAGTCATTCCCAAACACCTGCACGCACTCCAGATCAACACGGACAGAGCGCAGAGCGCATTTCACGAAATCACTCACCTCTTCGCCGAAAACAAATGTAACGTCGCTTTCATAACAGAACCCTACCTGGGCAATGGAAAGAACGCCAAGGGCATCGGGGGGACTGTCGCATTCCAAACCAACAGGGGAGGGGCACCGGTCAGGGCACTCCTCTACATGAAAGAGCGCTTAGCGCACAAGCTAAAAGCGGTCCTGGCCACCCAGTACTCCTCCCCGGACCTGGCCGTAGTCCGTCTGGACGTGGCCCAAAGAACGTGGTACCTGGCCTCCATCTACCTTCCCCCCAGGGGGGACTGCTCTGAAACCTTAGAGCTGATCGAGAGCCTGCTCAGAAACACCAACTCACCGGGAAGCAAGATTATCCTAGCCGGCGACATGAATGGATGGCACCCCTCCTGGAACAGAACGGGGGCCATCAATCCGAGAGGCAGAATCATAGACAGCCTCATCATGCACAACGGCCTAATCTGCCATAACAGCGGCGACATCACGTTCAGAACCTTCACACACGGCGAAGAGAGGAGAAGCGCCATCGACCTGACCGTGTCCACGGAAAGTGCCGCTAGGTTTATACAAAATTGGCACACCAACGAAGACATAGTATGCTCCACGCAACACATAGCCATATGCTACAGAATAAGGATCACCAACACCGGAGTCAGCGGGCACACCCCCACGTTACATCCTGGGCACGGTCAATCTACCTACAGATACAGAATCAATAAGAACACCAACTGGAACAAGTTCCGAAAGGAATTAATCAAAAACAGTACCAGATTGGACTCGGCCCCGAGTGACATAGCCGCACTCGGCCCGAACGAATTGGATGACTTCGTTAGACAACTCACCACAGTGATCAATCTAGCCGCGGAAGCGTCCTTCCCCTGCACAGACGGAAGTAGAGAATCGCGCAAAGGAACGTCGTTCTGGAACGAGAAATTAGAAAAACTAAAAAAGGAAATCGTAAACATGAAAAGAAACATCAGAACGACAACGGCCAGGGACAGAAGGTCGAGCGAGGAAGAGAACGGAATTCGAATAGGACAACTGGCAGAGCTACAGGAGAAAATTCAAAACTACAACGAAGCCATAAGAGCCGAAGCCGCCGCCAGCTTCAGAGAGTTTTGCCAAAATAAAAACCTAGACGACATATGGAAGATCGTTAATCCGGTAATCAAAACCACAGGCAGACCAGCCCCGCCGCCGGCCACGGTCAGAGGAAGAACGGCGACCGCATCAAACGACAGCACGAACAACGGCCAGGACGAGCACATGGCCAACAATGCGGAGGAATCCGCCAGAATCCTGTTGAACCACCACTACCCGGAGGACTGTTCCGATGAAGACACCGAGCAGCAAAGGCTAATAAGAAGAGAGAGCGACACAGAACCTGACTCTGGCGAAGACCACAAATTCAGCCACGACGAAATCCTCGAAGCCTTAAGACAATTCTCGGAAAAGAAAGCGCCGGGTCTGGACGGACTGACGGCCGACATCTGCAGAAGTGCCTTCAGCACTATGCCTGATGTCTTCATCAATCTGTTCAACAGGTGTCTGGAAATAGGACACTTTCCCAAGTGTTGGAAGCTAGCGGTGGTGAAACTAATCCCGAAGGCCTCCTCGGAGGAGGACATCGAATCCCCGAAGAGCAAGAGACCGATAGGCCTCATACCTGTCTTCGGCAAATTATTGGAGAAACTTTTCATAAACAGAATTAATCATCACTTGGAGACAAAATCAAGAAACTCACCAAATCAGTACGGATTCAAAAGAAACACTTCCACACTACACGCTCTGGCCAAGGCCATTGACGATATCGAACGGGCAAAGAGCGCCCGTAAACCATGCCTAGCGATATCTCTAGACATAAGAGCCGCTTTCAACTCGGCCTGGTGGCCCGCGCTACTCGACAACCTGAGAAAGTCCAATTGCCCAAAGAACATCTTCAACCTGGTCCGCAGCTATCTCAGAGACAGGAAGGTCATCTTGAATTATGCGGGGGCCACCGCCGCAAAACACATGAACAGAGGATGCATTCAAGGATCCGCCTGCGGACCCTCCTTCTGGAACATCATACTGGATCCGCTACTCAACGACACACTGCCGGAAGGAGTAACACTACAAGCGTACGCGGACGACGTACTAATGATAGTCTCCGATGACGACACGGCCTCACTGGAGAGCAAAGCGAACCACTGTCTGGAAAAAATTCGGAAATGGGGCATCGAAAATAAACTCATCTTCGGCAGCGACAAGACGAAGGCTCTCGCCTTCACCCCGCGCGCGGCCAGAGCTAAATTAACAATAGGCAATCAACCGATCGACCTCTCGCATCACATCAAAATACTCGGAGTGATCATCGACAACAGACTGCGCTTTGGTAACCACGTGGACCACGCGATCAAAAAGGCCCAAAGACTCTTCCAAAGGCTCACCCTCTTCGCTCGCCCCTCGTGGGGTCTCAATCCAGAGATAATCGAGATAATCTACAAACACGCGGTGGTCCCCACGATCACCTACGCCGCCGGAATATGGGGAGCCGCAGCCGAGGTGAACGCGCACAAGAAAAAGCTACAGGCGGCGCAGAGAGGCTTCGCCATAAGGGCGACTAGGGCATACAAAACCGTGTCCAATGTGGCGGCTAACGCCCTGGCGGGCTTCCTCCCGCTCGACATAGAGATAGCCAGAGTAGCCAGCGTGGACAAGGCCAGAATCACGTTAAGTTCGGAGGAACTGGAATCGGACCACACCAAAAGTAAGGTCGCGATAGAGGGCAAAACACACGTAAGCAAGCTGGCACACCCCGCCCTAAGAATATCCCCCGACTTCAGAATTCTGCCTAATCAATCCAAGTTATCGGAAATCATCCCGGAGAACGCGGTAGTCTATTACACCGACGGCAGCAAGGCCCCCAACAGAAAAGGAGACTGGAGAGGCAACACAGGGGCAGCCATCGTCAGAATTGAAAATCTACCACCATCATCACCACCTCCACCTCCTTCTTCTTCTTCTTCTTCTTCACCAACATCAGCGGCACCATCACCACCTTCGCCGCCGCCTCCGCCACCGCCTACGCCTACGCCTATGCCTACGACACAGGCCGCTGCCGCCTCTCCCCCCCCCCCTCTCCTCCTCCCCTCCCTCCCCCCTCCTCTCCGAGTTCGCTATTCCAAATCCGAATCCGAATTCGAATTCGAATCCACGCATACCCGAGGTCGAGCGTTCGAGACCTTCGTACTCTGTGGACACAAACACAAACACAGTAATCGACACAAACAACGAAGGAACAACAACAACAAAAACAAAAACAAAAACAAGGACAAAAACCAACAAAGACGCGGACACGAGCGAGTCCACAGAATTAATCCACATGGGAGTGGACTCCCCGCCGCACATTGTACTCATCCTGAACAAAACTCAAAAGGTTGAAATCACCGGCTTCAAACTTAGCCCCTGGTGCTCGAACTTCCAGGC